CGTCCTCCCTGCCCCCTGCTTGTGTGCGCTCCCTGGAAGTGCGCAGCACCGCGATCCGGTGCCCGCTGTGTCCTCCGGACACAGTGTAACACCAATCGTCGTATGGGACCTCTGTGCGAGGTCCCGATCATGTGATCACTGATTGGCCAATCATTGATCACATGCAGAGTAGTAAGCAAGATGTCACTTCTGACATGATTGCTTACTACGTGTGAAATCTGTGAATGATCACAGAGATCACATGGTACAGGGCTATTCACAACAGCCTTGTACCATGTGACAAGCTGTGACCAATCACAGCTCACACAGTAGTTCTCAATGGCCGCAAGATTTGCAGCCAGAGAGAAGGAGAAATGATTGCTTTTACATCCTTCAGTGTGAAAAAAAAATAAACTCTTCATCACTCCCCACAAGTAGTACAGTTTCACCATGGTGACACTGTACTGCTAGGGTGACAGTGTGTAAAAAAACCCCATAAATAATAATATAGCCATAAAAAAATTAATGAAAAATATTAAAAAAAAAAAAAAAAACTAATTTGGGCTAAAAAGATAACGGAATAAATTTGGCCAAAATTATGCAAATATTATTTATTTGCAAAATTTTATAAGAAAAAATTTTTTGGACATTTTCATTTAATAGCAAAAACAATAAAATCCCAGTGGTGAATAAATACCACCAAAATAAAGCTTTAATCTGTCTCAAAAAAAGCTAAAAAATTCATATGGGTACAGTTTACATGACCGTGAAATTATTCCCAACTGTGACAGCGCTGAAAGCTGAAAATTGGCCTGGACAGGAAGGGGGTGAAAGTGTCCGGACTGGAAGTGGTTAAGATGATCACCTTTTGTAAGATACAAAAGCTGCCGGGATTTTATTTTGAAATTTCTTGCACCACAATGTAAAAGTGTCGCAAATGCTTCATGAATTTGACGCCATATAACAAGAGGGATTGCCAGAAAAGTGCTTTCTTGCGATGTTAGCCATAAAAAAATGCAGAATTTCTGCAATGTTATGCAAACTGGTATTTTTTCTAAAACATAAAAATAGAAAGAAAATAGTTTTTTTTTTTTAAGCTATTCCCAACTCAGTGACAAGCTATTCGGAAACAATTTGACTCCTTTACTAACCCCACTAGCATATCCCATTTAGAAAAAGCTCCTTAGATCTTCGGGCCCACATAGACTTATCTCTGAATATTACTTGGCGTTATGTGCTAAGGCTAGACCTTGCTAAGCACACCCACATGGAAGAAAAATAGATCTGAAATATATTTTAAAAATATTCTGCAAAAATATATTGCCATATATTTGCAATGCTACAATTTTGTCCATATTCAATATAGTTCAATAAATATATATATATATATATACATACACACACACACACATATATATATATATACACACAGTTGCAAGAAATGTATGTGAACCCCTTGGGATTACGTGGAGTTTTGCATGAATTGGGCATAAAATGTGCTCTGAACGTCATCTAATTCACAACAATAGAAGAACACAGTCTGCTGAACATAATACTACACAAACATTCGATGTTGCCATGGTTTAATTGCACATAACATGTAAACATTCACAGTGCAGGGAGGAAAAAGTATGTGAGGCCCTAGCTTAATGACTTCTCCCAGAGCTAATTGGAGCCAGGAGTGAGCCAACCTTGACTCCAATCAGTGTGATGATATTGGATGTGTTGCTGACAGCTTCCTGCCCTTAAAAAACACACACACCTGTTTTGGGTTTACTGGTTTCAAGAAGCACTGTCTGATGTGAACCATGCCTCGCAGAAAAGAGAGCTCTCAGAAGACCTACAATCAAGAATTGTTGACTTGCATGAAGCTGGAAAGGGTAACAAAAGTATCTCCAAAAGCCTTGATGTTCATGTGTCCACGGTAAGACAGACTGTCTACAAATGGAGAAAGTTTAGCACTGTTGCTACTCTCCCTAGGCGTGGTCGTCCTGTAAAAATGACTGCAAGAGCACAGCGCAGAATGCTGCATGAGGTAAAGAAGAATCCCAGAGTGTCAGCTAAAGACCTACAGAAATCTCTGGCACATGCTAACATTTTTGTTGACACATCTACAATAAGGAAAACATTAAACAAGAATGGAGTACATGGGAGGACACCACGGAGGAAGCCATTGCTGTCCGAAAAAGAAGATTGCAGCACGTTTGAAGTTTGAAAAAGAGCACCTGGATGTTCCACAGCACTACTGGCAAAATATACTGTGGACAGATGAAACCAAGATTGAGTTGTTTGGGAAGAACACACAACACTGTGTGTGGAGAAAAAAAGGCACAGCACACCAACATCAAAACCTCATCCCCACTGTGAAACATGGCGGCGGGGAGCATCATGGTTTGGGCTGCTTTGCTGCCTCAGGGCCTGGACGGATTGTTGTCATTGATGGGAAAATGAATTCCAGAGTTTATCAAGACATTTTGCAGGAAAACGTACGACCATCTGTCCGCCAACTGAAGCTCCGCAGAGGATGGGTGATGCAACAGGACAATGACCCAAAGCATACAAGTAATTCAACAAAACAATGGCTGCAACAGCACAGAATATGCCTTCTGGAGTGGTCCAGTCAGAGCCCTGACCTCAACCCGATTGAAATGCTGTGGCATGACCTTAAGAGAGCGATTCACACCAGACATCCCAAGAATATTGCTACACTGAAACAGTTTTGTGAAGAGGAGTGGTCCAAAATTACTCCAGATCGTTGTGCAGGTCTGATCTGCAACTACAGGAAACGTTTGGTTGAGGTTATTGCTGCCAAAGGAGGGTCAACCAGTTATTAAGTCCAAAGGTTCACATACTTTTTCCTCCCTGCACTGTGAATGTTTACATGTTATGTGCAATGAAACCATGGCAACATCTAATGTTTGTGTAGTATTATGTTCAGCAGACTGTGTTCTTCTATTGTTGTGACTTAGATGACGTTCAGAGCACATTTTATGCCCAATTCATGCAAAACTCCACGTAATCCCAAGGGGTTCACATACTTTTTCTTGCAACTGTATATACACACATATACATACACTGCATGTTGAAATGCGTTTTTATTACAAAATATATGAATATTTTTTTTAAAAAATACATTTCAAATATACTGCATGCCTTGAAAAATACAAATCTACATTTTTGGAATGCATTTACAAATATATGTAAAAATATATATGATAAAATGACTTTTTTTATATGTTAAAAAAAATCTGAAGAATATATTTAAAAAAAATATATTTTTAAAAATATATGTTTTCATGCCACGCTTCTTCTCTGGTGTTAGGATGTCAGCATCACTCTCTACATCACAGGTGTCAAACCGGCGCCCCTCCCTCCAGCTGTTGCCAAACTACAAGTCCCATGAGGCATTGCAAGATTGACAGTTACAAGCATGACTCCCAAAGACAGAGGCATGATGGGACTTTTCCAACAGCTGGAGGGCTGCCAGTTTGACTCCCCTGCTCTACATCATTATACTGCAGGATGCTGTAGTGACGCCATTCAGGGGGCGGGCCCATAACACTGCAGCCATTTCTATAATGGTTATTTTAATAAAGGCTGTGGGATCAATTAAAAAAATATCCAGAGCTAAGATTTAAAGAATGTGTCAACCCAAAATATCATACTCCTGATATGTGCCTGCTGTACTATGTACTTGGATGAAAATCTATTCTGTTCTCTTAGTATTGTTTCCTTTGTGTGAAATCTCTAGTGAATCCTTCTACTTACCTACCGGAAACTGACCACAGTAGGCAGGAGGAGAGCACACTGTGACCAGTTTTCTAGCTGTGCTGGGAACTCAGCCTGCTCTCCCCTCCAATGATCAGACGTCTGCTGACATGACCCCCCCCCCCCCCCCCTGCACTGCCATTCACTGGGAAGACCAGAGTGCTGCTGCAACTCTTCCTCCAGCTCTCTGAGACCCTTATGCAGCTGTGAATAGAGGGTATGTTATCTCAAAAAAAAGAAAGAAAAAAAAAAAAAAAAGGTATTTACATTTGTATACACAAATATTCTGCCAATCAGATATTTTATACACACACACACTGTACTAAAAGCACGTTACCTCTTTTCTTGTCTATTAATAATCATTATTTATATCCTTATAATTTACAGCAGAAGGTAAGTTATAACCTACATTACTGTGTATGTTCTCCTCAGGACTTTCTGGGTTTAAATTGTTACAAAACCCACAACGGTAATATCAATCTGTATATGCAGTAAAGCATGCTGAGTATACTCACTGGGGAACCTAAGGGGTTAATCCTCCGCATTGTGTAAAAAGGATGTTTGATCCTGTCTTCTCTAAACCTCCCTTTCTTCTACTGTCCCCAATCCATTTGCTGATAGAACAGAGACTTGGGGGCAAGCTGCAGATGCTCAGTTTGGTGTGTATTGCTAGAAAGGTTTTTTTTTTTTTTGGGTTTGTTTTTTTTTTTTTGGCATGGTGCCAATCAGTGCTGTCCAGACAGAGGGTCAGGGGTTATGCAGCCTCATAGAACAATTAGGGGAGAATGAAAACTCCTCCTACAAGCTTTAACCAGTGCTCTGCTGGACACTGATAGAAGTCACAAGCACTGCTATTTACTGCTGATGAAAAAAGGTGCTTAGCAGTTTATATTTACTAAAATAATTGCATTTCCATGTTCTGTGTACTGTGGGAAACCAGATATAGTGAATGCAGGGTCCGGGGAGACCAGATATAGTGAATGCGGGGACCGGGGAGACCAGATATAGTGAATGCAGGGTCCGGGGTATAGTAACACTTTAAGACAAACTTTAAAGTAGGTCTGCAAACCGTGCACATTGTAAGGCAAAATACAATTTTAAGCAGAAAAAACATAAATATGCCAGCCAGCCAGGAGAGCTTAAATACCACATAAAATGAATTCCTGGCTGGAAGGAGACTGAAAAATGCATAAGAAGCAAAGACAAACTGACCAGATGCGGAAAGGATATTAAACGTCTGAATGATATCTTACCGGAAGAAAAAGTCTCTGAGCCGCGCAAGGCTTGAATAATTTCTTCCATTCCTGAGCGTTTCCAACTGAAAACGTGATTGGGTAGATCTTGTATTCAAACTTTCTGGAGAGCTGATGGGGCCATTCCCTGAGCTGCAAGAAAGAAAAGAAAAGGGAAAGAAAGAAAGAAAGGAGAAAGAAAGAAAGAAAGAAAGAAAGAAAGAAAGAAAGAAAAAGAAAGAAAGAAAGAAAGAAAGAAAAAGAAAGAAAGAAAGAAAAGATTGACACAAAGGCTGCATTAAATTACGTTAGGAAATGTAAGGCGTTTTTAGTTTAGATTGTAATATTTTGAGGACTAAGAAAACGTTTTTTTTTTTCCATTTTTAGGCAATTATGAAATATTACACAGGAATATTTAATGTTTACAATTTCTAGACAGCCGGTGTAGCTCTGGGTTCCTTTACGCATACTTACCGGGTTATCCTTAAAGAGACCCTGTCAGATTAGCGTCACCTAACATCTGTACCCCAAATAGAAGTCTCCTTGGAGACTTTGAAAAAGAGGAGCTTCGAGAATTCCAAAAATCGTTGCTACGATTCATTTCTTGCTATACTAAAAAAGCCATTGCTTTACAGTGGAAACCCCCCCCCCCCCCAGTTAGCACATGTGTATTAATTTAGTAAATACAGCCTTACTTATGGACAAGTTGACCTATTTTGCTAGAGGTTAGGTTGTCCATGAAAATTTGAGAGAATCTGGTCCAGCTGGACATCTAGTGTGTCAGAGGATACTTAGGTTTGAGTTTCCTGATTATAGAACTTCATTGAATAGTTCTGAGGTAACCCCTTTGGATTTATTTGGGCCACATTCACCCTCTCTACTTCACCATTAATTAATATGATGCCTTTTCTTCACACATACACCAGCTGTAATGTTTGTGTAAGGTTGTACTTCTTATGGGATACATAACGGTGTATTTAAAGTGTTACTAAACCCACAACAGTACAATCAGTCTGTATATGCAGTAAAGCATGCTTGTTATACTTACTGTGGAATTTAATGGGTTAATCCTCCGCATTGTGTAAAAAGACTGTTTATCCTGTCTTCTCTGATCCTCCCCTTCTACCGTCCTCAATCCATCTGCGGATAGAACAGTGCCTTGGGGGTAAACTGAAAATGCTCAGTTTGGTAGAGCATTGGTAGCAGTGTATTGCTAGAGAGATTTTTTCTCTTTGGGAGAGTGCATGTGATCAGCACAGGGCCAATCAGCACAGTCCAGACAGAGGTTCAGGGGTCATGCAACGTCATAGGAAAGTCCACCTGCTGACCACCTTATACACACTTTATAGAGCGTCCCTGCTGATCCTTTTCACATGTCTGCTAGAGCAAAGCATGCAGAAGCATTGCAGTATGTGACCTTCTCCTTTGATGTTGTGCTCAGGCCCAGCAGCCAATCGCATGAAGGAAAGAGTGACATTACTGTTCCCTGTAAGCTCCAACATGGGTATGTTCCATTGGCAGCCAAAGAAGAAGGAAGGCCGCTGCCCTGATTGGAAGTGCACAGTTATCTAAAATCTCTTGCTGCAGCAGTGAGAGTACTCATCAATGGAAACACCAAGACTTAATCATTTGGAGATGAGTCTAATAAAGTTGGTCATAGAGCCGCTGAATTTCGATGAGTAGGTGGTGGGTTCCTGCTCAACAGCAGTTGATCGTTTGATCAACCTCTGTCAAAAGGACATGGTGGAAACTTTTGTTGACTAATGACTGCAGCCGCTGAGCAGTGTATTTCAAAAGTGGTGGGTCCCTATGTGAAAAAAAAAACAATGTCCTGGTGGGAGCGGAGATGGGACGGAGGAGTCTGTAAGTTTGGTTTCATTCAGCCTGCCAGCTGAATAATATAAAATACCCATCTATGGCCAGCATTACGTTTGGTCATATAGTCAGTGCTGGGGGGCACTAGGGTATCATGTGAGATGGGGGGTGGGGGAGCTGCATGCAGACCTACAAGCTGTGCCAGAGATGAGAGTTTTTGTGCTTGGAGGAAGGGGGAGAAGAGGATTAGTGCTAGGATAGGAGGGGGGTTTGGGTGGGAGGTATGTGCTATGAGGGGGGATTGGGGGGGGGGTGTCTATTAGAGAGGGCTGCAGTGGTGTGCGATTTATTTTAGGAGGCAAAACTTGGGGGGATAAAGAGAGGATTTGTGCTGAAGGTGATTTGCAGGGGAAAGTGGAGGGAGAGGTGATGTGTATTAGAATGGGGGATTTGTGATAGGCAAGGGTATTTGGGATGAAGAATGGTGCTAGTATGAATGATTGTGGGGAGGATTTGTGCTAAAATGGAGGATATGGAGAGGGAGAGGATTTATGCCCAGAGGGGAAATTTGAGGGGTAGAGAATTTGTGCTAGGAGGGGGGATTTTGTGGAGGGAGAGGATTTGTGCTAGGAAGGGGGATGGTGGCGGTGGAGATTTGTGCCGGGTTGGGGATTTAGAGGGGTGGGGGTTGGGGGCATGGATTTGTACTGGAAGAATTGGAAATTTGTTTGAGGGTAATTTTGGCTTGCAAAGGGAATTTATGCTTAGGGGCAAGCATGCAAATTAGTGCTCAAAATGTATTTTTTTTTGGGGGGGGGGGTGCTAACACATAATGCTCATACATTTTGGCAAGGGTAGGCACCGCTTGGTGACCTTGTCCTGACAGTGCTTATGGTGTATGTTGGTGCTCTACAAATACAGGATAATACTTCATAAGGTATAGACTTAACTCTCAGCAAATCTGACTCACACAGACTCCAAGAACAGAGTCCCATCAAGTCAACTGCCTAGAGAGGCTACAAAGTTGGTTATAAATTGACCCAACGGTGGGTGTTGGGTAAATTTATGACCCACTTTGAAGCCTCTCTAGTCAGTTGACTTGATGTTCTTTTTGTTACCAACCTTGCGTTCAAACTCCGGTTTCAATTCGTCTTCTGCAAAGATGTGAAATTGAAGTTTCTTCACACTGAAGAGCATAGCAGACTTCAGCATGGTCACCGTCTCCTCTACACGATCCCCACATGCCACCACAGCAAGATGCATCCATTCCACAGGGACAGAAACTTTCTGTTTTTGCTCGGAAACTCTGCAGAAAGAAAGAAAATGTACCAGTTCATTGGAATTCTATTTATACAACAAATACATCCTTCTCCACCTTGAAGACCCCAGTTGAAGACAGAGCTCTTGAACAGAACCCCCATTCTCAACCAGGGTTCCTCCAGAGGTTACTAGGGGTTCCATGAGCTGTGACTGTTTGACTTCCCATCTGATGGTGCCTGCATGGTTTTCGAACCATTGTCACTTGAAAAAGGCAACAGCATGATACCAATTAATATTTTAGCTATCTGTAAAGGTGAAATTCTACCACCACTGTAGGGGTGGCATTCTTCCTACTGACCACCAATGCAAGAGGCATCTTTGCTATTGACCATGATTAATTGCTTTTAGTAAGGGTTCCCTGAGACATGAATATTGTTTTAGATGTTAACTCTGGGTAAAAAGGTTGAGAAAGGCTTCTGCATAGGCTTGACTAGCACAATCCCAGTTTATTCACACCATTAAGTGACACAGAAAAAGCAACTCCCATGCCTCCTGCTATTCTATGGAGATGGTACCCTCTAGATCTTCAGTCCGCAGGAGTCGTCAACAAGTACAGAGCTAATGCTGGCCTTTTGAAGATAGAATTGCTAAACTAAACCCCATAAAGCATCCATTCTCAACCAGGGTCCCTCCAGAGGTTGCTAGGGGTTCCTTGAGCTGTGGCTGACTGACCATCCCATCTGATGGTGCCTGTATAGTTCTGGAGCCAATACTGCTTGGCAGAGCCAGTGGCAAGACGCCAATGTTTTCAGCTGTCTGTAAGGGTGACTATCTGACCACCACTCTAAGGTGGAGAATTTTTTCCACCAACTACCAATGTGAGGGGCATTCTTTCCATATTTCCACTGGACCCTGAAGAATACATTTTTTAGGAGTTCCCTGACACCTGAAAAATGTTTCAAGGGTTCCTTTGGTGTACAAAGGCTGAGAAAGACAGCCCTAAAGTCTAATCTTATCCTTATAGGGAACCTGACATACTACTAACCAAAAATTATCTGCAGAGCTTCAAGGTTTGATGGGTTAAAAGTCTGTCTCTGCTTCCTCTCACCTTTTAATCTACTTGACTTCACTAGGCTTTGATCCTGTTGACCCAGGAGCTGTGCATACCATAGGAGCACTGGATTCCAAACCCCCCTAAGGAGCCAAAGTAAACTAGGAATTCAGCATGTTGCCACCTGAAGGTGCCTGCCATGGGCTAAAAGTGCTGAATTAGGTACACTGGTGACACTTCAGACTTGTCTTAATGTGTATCTATAGGCAAACCAATGTTTTTTCAGTTTTGGATACAGTAAGGAAGAGTTAGAACCCTTGTCAGATTCTTCCTGCTGATTGTGTCCCCCCTACTCAAAGGATTCATTCTCTCTGTTCAGGTGACCATTGTCATTGAGTCCGAAAGTGATGAAAAATTCAAACTTTTACAGCAGGCACAAGAAATCTACCAGTGGGGACTTTTGTTCTGGTGATATATCTTTAAGAGTAGATTTGACCTCTGGGACAGGAGGTAAAGTAAAGCCCCCTAAAGTTGTTTCTAAACCCACAACAGTAAAATCAGTCTGTATATGCAGTAAAGCATGCTTGTTATACTCACTGTGGAACCTAAGGGGTTAATAATCTGCATTATATAAAAAGGCTGTTTGTTCCTGTCTTCTCTGATCCTCCCCTTCTACTATTCCCCATCCATTTCCCGATAGAACAAGGCCTTGGGGACAAGCTGCGCATGCTCGGTTTGATATGTATTGCTAGAGTTTTTTTTTCTTGGGAGAGTGCATGTAATCAGCACAGGGCCAATTAGCGCTGTCCAGACAGAGGGTCAGGGGTCATGCAGCCTCATAGGACAGACAGGGGAGAATGAAAACTCCTCCTACAAGCTTTAACCAGGGCTCTGCTGGACACTGATAGAAGTCACAAGACTGCTATATACTGCTAATGAGAAAAGGTATTTAGCAGTTTATATTTACTAAAATGATTGCATTTCCATGTTTTGAGCACTAAGAAGTAAACTATTGGTGCTGGAGAGATGGGGTTAAAATCTTAGAATCCCATTAGTGGTAGGGAGGTAGTCAGTTATTGGATAGCACCATCATGAGGCAACACCCTAAAGAGTTAAGCTGGACTCTGTAGTGGAAGATAAAAAAGAGAGAGGGGCGCCAGACTAAGTGCAGGATTAGCATTCGTTTAATAGCACACAATATGTAACTCACTAGATACAAGTGGGTCAGAGGCATGGAGAGTATGTGAACGTCATCCTGGTGGAGTTCCAGAGGCAGAGAGGAGAGGGTGGATGGACATCTGGGGGCCAAGGCTGTGGAGAAATCCAGGTCTACTGACTCACATCGAGTCCTCTACAGCATGTCGCAGGCTGTGTCTCATTCAGAACCAGGCTGGAACGCATTTGGCTGCCGGGCGGAAGTGACATCACTACGGGAACGTAATGCCGCAAGGAAGGGGCGGTAACGCGTTTCAAAGCTGCTGCTTCTTCGTCAGAGCTCTGCTAATACTGCACTTAGTCTGGCGCCCCTCTCTCTTTTTATGTTCTGTGTACTGTAGGAGACCAGATATAGTGAATGCGGGGTCCAGGGTTTAGTAACACTTTAACACACTGCACAGGTTCTAACCATTCCTTGAAGAAAACACAAGAGGGCGCACTGATCCCCCGCTCCCCATTAAGGATTGGCACCTTTGGGAAAGGAGCGGGTACCCGAAATTGACAGGTACCCGCTCTCACTTCCGCTGCGATCAGCCTAGGCGGTCGGAAGCGGAAGGTGTCCTCCCTAGTCTTCTGGGACACGTGACAGGTCCCAAAAGATGATGGGCCCATTCAGGAAGCGCAGCACTACTCGCGCATGCGCAATGGGCACCCAGCTGTGAAGCCGCAAGCTATCACAGCCAGGTGCCCACACTGAAGATGCCGGTGCTTGGAATACAGGACAGCCAGTGAAATGAGCTGCGGCGGGGGCACGCGGGATCGTGGGACAGGCGAGTGTCTGTTATTTAAAAGTTTACAGTGTTTGTAGCTGCTGACTTATTTTTTTACAATGTGAGTGGCACTCTGCTTTAATACAGAACTCCAGCAAAAAAATTTCAAGAAGAAAATGATTAGCTCATTAATAGACAGTAAAAAGAAACTTTTTATGGCAACAGTCACTTTCAGCCTGAAGCTTTCCCCAGCAGTACTGATTTCCTTCCACAAGATGTCCTTAGTCTAATAACCGGTACCATTCAATCCACTTCCTTTGAGCCCAGGTCATCTTGGACCCACTCCAGCTTGTGACTGGACAGTTGAAGGAAAAGCAGCACAGTAGTGAGCTCATCTTTCTGTCACTCTGCTCTATTCTCCTTCCAGGGTGCTCTTTGTCAGCACATGATCTGATTGGCTCCTTTTGCCTCTACTGCCTGTCACCCTCCAACCCTGCTATACAGGGACCGCAAGATTCTTATACTAGGTCCAATTCAGGAACTTACACAGCTTGCATTTAAAAAAGTACATTTTAGAAAGTATTCAGGATTACAGATCTGCAATAATGCCCGTGTTATATCTACCTAGAGTTCAGCTTTAAATCTTGTCCCTAACTCTAACCTCCAAGACTAAAGCCGCCATACTGAATCGGACAAATTAGAACCCATGGTGGCCCTGTCGGTGACACCCAGCTTGACAAATTTTGATTGAAAAATTGAAGGAACTTGTCAGCTGAATAGTGACTGAATCCAATGTCACAGTTCGAGTATCCTGACAGCCGCGGGTACAGAATACAATAGCCGGCAGACAGTGATTTCTCTTGCTGAGCCTGCAGGGTCCAATGAGAGAAATCTATGTGTGTGTGGCTAGCCTTATTGAATCCATTAAATTCTATACTAACCTTGTCATCACCAAAAGTAGCAGGTCATCCGGCTGAGATCAGCAAAGAAAAAGTTCTTGCTTCCTACAGAAAAGACTGCGCAGAGACAGCAGCGCAAAAAACAAATAATACGTTTCATATGCATCTCTCGGGCCTTTTTCACACAGGGGATAAGTGGCAGTAAAAACAGACAGTTGAGTCACTTCATGACAGTCCTCCTTAAGTCTAAAATACAGCTGAAGGAGGCTGTTCACATGTCACGAGTGACATGGTTGGTGTCAAATTTAATGCATTGTGTCAAGTCAATGGGGCGGTATTGGGCGTATTAATCTCACCATAAATTAATGTTAAAGAAGAACTCAAGGCATGGTGTGGTTCTAAATAGTTACAACGGTCTACCATGGATGAATGGACTTACCTATGTACAGTATATCATACCTGGCTGATGCCCCTGGAAGTTGGAAATCATTGAAGTAGACACTGCTACACAGTGATCTCCACTAGCTTTCAGGTCCCGTGCTGAGTGGCCAGCCTGATGCATTGTGGACACAGGAGGTTGGCCATTCAGCAGGGGCGCCATTCAGAGAATGTAAAGGATTCTGTGATTGAATGAGGTGGGAGGGAAAGGGGGTGCTGATGTCACACTCTCCACTCTGTTCAATTCGAAGAATGCTTTGCATTCGTTCAGAAAATGCAAAGCAGTCTCTGAATGACGTTCGTGCTGAGCGGTTGACCTCCTGTGTTCACAATGTTATCAGGCCGGCCGCTCAGCACAGGACCCCGGAAACAAGTGGCGACCACTGGAGTAGCGGTGTCTATTTCAGTGATTTCCAGCTTCCAGGGGCATTGACCAAAAATAATATATGCATAGTAGTGGTGCACCAAAATGAAAATTTTGGTGCTGAAAACGAAAATTCAAAATGCACTTGGCTGAAAACCGAACCGAAATGCGCAGTTTTTAAAAATGAATATATATTTTTTGGAAAAAAAATACACTTTGATTAAGAAAAAAAAAAAGAAAAACCAAATATACCTAAATTTTTTTTATAAAATATTAAAGAGGATGTTAGGGCGAGTAAATAGATACCCAACATGTCACGCTTTAAA